GAGGGAGCCTGTATTTCCGTTTTTAGCCCCTAGAAATTAGTTTTAAGCCCGAGATTCTTTAGCTTGCCTTCTTTCATCGTGAACACGTCCACATCGAAGACCAGTTGCGAAAATGACGGCCTAATTAGATGGTTCCTGGTACTCCTCCTTGTTTTTTCTTTATCATGGCGCTACTTATCACCAAGTATCCACCGCCTTAGATACCTACATATCAAAATTGCAAACGGTGAAAGGGAAAGTTGCCGGGACATTGCAAGGGCTGAGTTTTACAGAGAAAAGCTTTTCTCTGATTTATTGAGGCTGTTTCGAGGTTTTATGTTGGAAAGACATCAGAGCTTTTTCTAATATTCACGTTTGTCTATGACAGTGATAAGCAGGGAGATTTTTCATCGTTTTTGCTTGCACCGCTTGGGAAGGGGTGGGGTTTATGATGGGGCGTGCTCCGTGAGATAAGGTGAGGAACGATTGTCTTCTCAAAAACATATTACCTTTTGTGAAATGATCCAGATACATTTTCTTGCCTAACGTATGCTATATTCAGCAAAGTCATGAGAAAAAATTCGTGGGTTTTTGAGCATCGCATTCTGAGTGGTGCATGTGAGACTCGTGTTCAAGAATAAAATCCTGGGGGGGGGTACCCCAGGAGGCCCGTCGCGCGGCAAGAAGGCAGAGTCGGCGGACGAGTTGCAGCGCGTGGTGTGCGATGTAGGACGTGCAGTGGGACACTCTATTTAACTTGACGCGAAATCCCTATAGTACGCGCGCGACTCGTCCGCTGACTTTGCCTTCTTGCCGCGCGACGGGCCTCCTGGGGGGTACCCCCTTAAAACATGCCCCGGGATCACATTGGTGTGGTTCTCGCACACGAATGCGAATGTATTGATGCGAAATGGGCCGGCAGTAAAGAAAAAAGAAAAGAAACGCTTAGGTTAAGGGCTCACTCGCCTTCCTAATTTCCTGTGCTAGGGGAATAAGAGACAAAGCGCGGAGAGGAGAGTATGGGGCCTCAACAAAGGAGAGGGCACCAGACAACAGCATGAAAGAGAACAAAATCTGCAGCTTTAGCACCTTACTTAGGCCGATGTTCATAGTTTGCGAATCAAACGATTCACTAGCCAATCGCTCTATTCGGAAACTATGACATCGGCCTTAAGCGAGGCCAAAGCGCTCTCGTCGGGTGGTTTCCATGCACGGGAACGCCGCATTTGTGATTGTCCTCTAGGGGTCTATACTACACAACCAAAAAGGAAGCGTTGCACGACCTCTGCTGGGTTGCCAAAAAGGTCGCCAAAAGGCTGAGGCAAAAGTCGGGCTCAATAAGGGGGTATTATGGCGATTGAAACTGAGTATAGAGATGCGAAGTGGAACGACAGTGGAGAAAAAAACTGAGAAAAACCGTCGACAAGGCCGTTAACAAAACCCTCTTTCCCACTAGCAGTGAAGGAGGCTGGCTTGGGGAAAGAGGCACGTACAAACAAGTTTTCTGGAGATGTCAGTCGTTCTATCGGTTGATACGGCAATCAACCTAGCTGATTTCACACGTTATGCCAGCCACGCACCACTTCCGGAGGTGGGCGGTCCTGGATTGACCAGGCGGCCCTGGATTGAAACCGAACGCCCCGGGGCCTTAACGGGGTTTTTCAAGGTGGGAAGTTGCTGCAATGTGTGCAGCTACCCACATACAACCTCCAGGCACGGGAATTACTTCTCTAGCGTGCCTGAGCCCGACCTTTGCCTTTAGGGAAATTAGGGGTTTCTTTTTAAAGCGACAAAACGAGAACTGGAAATACGCTTTTTCCAATGTCTTTGAATTGAACACGTTGAAGAATTGCAAAAAAAAAGCCACATTTGTGTTCGAGAAAAGCGGACCATTGAGCTTCCCTTTGTGGCCGGCTTCGTTCGAATCGAGGCGCATTGCGCTAGCACCGCGGTGGCGGCTGCTAGCGAATCGCTCGGATTCCGCCACGTCTGACAATCGCCATATTTTATCGTAATGCCCATCCGAAAAAGTTGGCGTGTGGTTTCGCGCTGGAGGCGTTAAAAGGTGGTGAGTATGATAAAATGAGTTCTGCGTAAGGAGTTATATGCACCAGTCGAAGCAGCAAAGACAGCGAGGTTTGGCGTTTCGCGGCGAAACACATGTAACACACATACTAGTTATGCTGCGGGCTTGAAACTGCACCATGCCAAAAACATTCCACCTTAAAGGAATCTTGCGCGGAAAATTCTTGCACTCTTTCCTAACATGAATATGTCAGTTGTGATCACTGGAAATAGCACACAAAGTTTCACGCATGAAGATTCGGTTTCTGAAGAGAAACAAACGTACAAAAACTACACGTTATGGACCATCGAAGGACCAGGAGGCAGAGCCAGGCGAGGCATGGAAAGAAGACGGCGTTTGGCCGGCTACGTACCAGGCGACGCAATGAGAGAATCGGGTTAAAGCGCGCGATTTCGGAGAGTGGAGACAAATCGATCGATGGAATAGGATGGAGTAGAAGTGTAAGATGTGAATGCAACGAAGCAGAAGGCCAGAAAGAGCTTCTAGTGAATGCACTCCAAGAACCAAGTTTGAGCATCCCCGTCGCCAGCATTCGTGAAAGACGTCCGTGGGCAATTCGAACGCGTAGCAGCCTTTTCGAGTTTTCGAATTTCTAATCAAAACGAAAGCAATACTTCAGTTCTTTTCACTATTATCGTGGATAATGAGTCTCAAGCCAGTGATTTATGGCTGAAATAGAATCATGATTTTTCCGCGCAAGATTCCTTTAATATTTGTGTTTGCCATAACGTTTCCATTTTCATTCGATTTCAATTTTTGGAAAGTATATCCGTTTAAGTGGTCACACCTTGTAGTGTGATGTAGTCGGACACATTCACCTCTAACTGAGCCTCCACACTCATTCAGATTTAACAGGCATGGATAAATGTGCCAGTTATCGGACTTGGATGTTCATTTGTTTCTTCTTCACTACCTCCCCATGTGGCCCTTTTCTACAGGGGGTGGGGGGGGGCAAAAAAAGTCACTGTGCCATCGGCGCAATATTCACCCAAACTTTTGTCGCAAAGGGTGCCCCTGTTATTGGTAGTTTTACGGCGAAATATTCCTCAGGATTCCAAATGTCCTCCCATAAGCAGAAATAGACCTACCTTCGCTTCGTTCACCGTCTCCAGAATATGACGTCATCTGTCATCACCGTCGAGCTTAAGGAGGCCTACAATAATCGCTCCATTCTGAAGCTGCTACATAAATTCTTCATCGTATAACTGCTGGAGCCTGAAAAAAAACAAAACAATATAATGGCTTCCCAGGGACACTAGCTGTGACTATGCAAGACCGCTTTTGACCAGCGTTTCAGGACGTCGTAATGGTCTATGGTACCTCGACGACCTCGTTGAGCTCGTACCGTGCACCATGTTCCGTGGGAAAATCTTCTGATGTCGTCGGTGTAGAAAGGCCCTATGTAATTTTTTGATAGAATAGAATGTGCTCTTCAATATGCAATTGAGCTCATTCGGTTTGGTTTTGGCAAAGTGTAATTAATTCTGTTTTGAATGTGAGTGAGAGTGACTCTTTTTTTTGCCCCCCCCCCCTGTATAGTAATACAGCATTATTATTAAACTATTCTAGTTTAGAGCAATTGAACGCTCCAGGAAGTCGCAGGAAAATTTCTCGACCTGTGCTTCCTCACTTCTCCTTCTCCTTATCTAAGGCCATACGCTATCTCAGACGTAGATGAAAAGAAAAATCTCTTTGGATTTTTTTGGTTTTTTTTTTCAACAAAAAATGCCCTAAGAAATAGCTTATTGTGATGTTTGTATGTGGGTGAAAGCAACCATGCGCAGGAATCAAGGAAACTAAAAAATTAAACCCAAAAAATCAATAGTGGTCTTTTCGCCTCTAGCTGGAGCGGGGCAGGGACGGATACGGCACCATCATGGATCACTGTGCCGCCAACACGCATCTTGTTCCTGAAGTTGACTGCTGAACCAGAAGGTAAATATCCTTTCATTTCCAAACGGCTATAACTTTCTTATTTGTGGACGAATTAGAGATAGAAGAAAAGTTTGGAATTTTTCGAGGAGTACTTCCTAATTACCAGACTTATGATGGATAATGAGCAATGACTCGGTTCGGGAAATTCGATGAGCATTTCGAGTTCTAATTTTTAAAGAGCCATAACTACCTCGCAGGGAATCGTACGAGCATGTTTTCGAGGAAGCTGTATTTGGTAACGTTGCTGTCAGACTTCGCCAATCGAGCGACTACTACCACTAGCGATTCGCTAGCGTCTGCGGTCGCGTCGTGTAAGCGAATGGCTCAACTCGCTGTACGCGACGCGACCGCGGATGATAGGGAATCGCTCTATTCGCAAAGTCTGACATCGGCCTAAGGGTCCAGGCGACAGGGCATCCTTTATACGATTGGATTGGGCAAAGAGAGACGAAGACACCAGCGTGGCATCTGGAGGACGCTCAGCTAGAAGGACAGGGATCTCCGATAAGAGCAAGCCGCTACCACACGCTCTGGAGCTGAGGAAACGGGACAAGCGGCGCGCATGAGACCTGATTTCAGTCGAAGAGCAAACGTATCTAGGCGGAGTTTGTGGCGCGGTTGGGTCTGGTGCTTGAGAGCCTGATTCGAGGATCAAACACAATAACCCATTTATTCGATAAGAACAAAAACGTTCATAATGCGTTCTCTAGAAAGTCTATGGTTTGTTACAACCGTACTGATGCAACTTAAAAAAGCAACTAAGCTCAAAGAGGGACAAACAAGTAGATCTTGAAAAGTGACCTAATGGTAGATATAATATTTCAACCACATGGGTAGAAATGTTGTGCTTTATCATAAACAAATAGTTAAGACTAGTGGATAAACAGTGAACAAAGTAGGAACGTTATTCAGTGGACATATAAAAAAAGAAATCAGTAATAATTTAGCAACAGTGAATTTCACGATACAAAAGGTGATCACACTCCACGACTTCTCCGCTTCAAACTTTGGTAGCGGACGTTTCTCCTTCCACAGTTCTTACTTTTAGCAGTGAACCGCTTTCTGGACGTTTGGCAGGAGCTACCGTCCATTCCAAAAGCATTTCGGCGATATATAGCATTGGAGTCCATCTAAATGATGAAGTGAGAAATTTAGAAATAATTTCAAGATTCGACAAATTCCCGTTCTCTCCATTTAGGCGAAGATTCCTTTACCTGAGGTGTTTGACTGGCTCAACTAGTACTAAAAGGGTTGCTCATTAACTAAACGGGTTGCTAAAGCCACTCCCGTTCAGAACAACCAACTCATCCTTCTCCTCCGGTCGACTGATCACGACCGCAATTGCCTTCACTAAAGAAGATGCTTGCTCAAATATCAGCGACTGCGCAAGGTGATTGTATGGAACATTTCACATTGGTGCTTCTATGATTCTGGATAGGAACCGAATGCGCGGTGCATTCCGAAAGGGTTGAGCCTTACCGAGGGTTCCATCGACTTTCTCCTTATTTCCGCTCCACCACTGATAGATATGGGTTATGCTTAACCTTGCGTAGTATTGCTCTGTGAAAGAGATGCACGAAAGTGATGTAAACTGCGCGTAATTTGGGATAAAGCCAGATAAATCAGGACTTTCGAGGGCTGTGTGGAGCTGGTTCTTAGTTAGAGGCAGAACATGAGATGTTAATACGACTCGAAAGAGTTCTACAAGGGAACTAAGGTCTTCTCACTCGCACTGAAAGCGGCCAGACTGTCATAGCAACGGTCTATGTAGCGAATATTTACGTATCACTCGCCGCGATGCTCTTCGTCTGTTCCCTCCACTTGGCGCCTAGTGTCTCTTCGTCGTCACGCAGTCCACCCTATAGAGGCAGATGGTACGATAAAATGAAGATCGAAGAAGGGAGAACGTATCCTGTGTAAAAAAACGAAGGTCCCTATGCAAACGGGGCGAGCCCCTTTTTGCTGCGGAGAGTGCGGCCGTAGCGATCTAGCAAGGACTAACCCTGACCGTGAATTTCATTCGCGGATGTCCACGCCCACCAATTGCGCTCCTCAGCTGCGAGTCCCTCGTTGTCGGTCTCTAGTTTTTTTAGGACAGAGCAGAGCGTTAACGTTGTCGGGGTTAGTAACGATGAAACTCTCCCAACACGATTTTCAATGGAGAAGAAAAGGGTCTCGTTTGACAGCTTTAAGTCCTTTCCGATAGTACTTTTTCCACTCCTAGAGCACTATCACCTTTACATCTTCGAACGGGTGACCAACTCATGGGTAAGCGCGAGGAGGCCTGTCACGCGGCGAGGAGGCACGCAGACGGTTCATCGGACGAGCCCCAGCACGCGCTGTAGCGATTTAGCGTCATCTTGAGTGGAATGTGCTATAGTACACTCCATATCGCACATTACGCGCTGCAGCTCGTCCGCTGACTCGCGTTTATGCTATCTCGCCCTGCGACAGGCCTCCTGTCGCGGACCCCCAATTTATTGTACCATAGGGTCTCTAGTTTCAGCCTGCTCAGTGATTTCCTTTGCTTTCTTATTTACTGACAGTCCCCTTCGCAAGTACTCCTCAAATACGGGCAATCTTTGATCATGGAATGTGCCTTTCAAACAAGTACAGGAAAAGTGCAAGTTTTTCAAAACTCACGTCGAATGATCCGCATTCGGCATCCACTTTCGATTCATCGGCGTATCGAGAGTGATCGGCAAAAGTGCCAAAACACAAGCGTCTTGTGGCATACCGGAACCTTTAGCGGCCAAGTGAAGAAGTTAACTGATGCACAGCCGCCTTAGCCATACCGTAGCCTAGCATACCGGGGGTACCGTGGGTTGCCTGGAAATTGAGACATTATCGGTACATCATATTAAAAGCACACAACTCAAACTCACTCCCGAAGCGCCGGTCAACTGAAGTAGACCGCCGGTCTTCAAGTGCTTTGGAGGCAATTCTGGCCGCGATGGCGCTACTCCAAACCGACTTTTACCACACCTCCCAATTCCCAATCAATGTTGTGATTCCCAACCTCCTTCGAGCCTTCTGCGCGAAAATCGATATTCTCTGCAGGGA